CTCACCGCCGGCCCCGCCGCTGCCCGGCGCACGCTGATGACGCGCCGGCGGAGGCGGGCGCGGCATCGCCCAGCGCCAGCTCCGGCACCTCCCTGCGGAACAGTTAATTAGCCTGGGAAAGTAATAAATGTTCAGCTATCGGTGTTAACCAGCTGGGGGGAGGAAGGCGGCAGAAAATATTTGGTAGCGATTTTTAAGACACAAGCTTTCATATAAATAGCAGCGTCAGTTTCCCAGGAAGAAAGCAGGCAGCTGCGTGGTTGGGTAAAATCAGCCCCAGGGTACTCGGTGCTTTTATTTTTTTATTTGGCTGTACCCGACCTACTCGGGACCCAGGATGCCCTGTGCCAGATCTGGTCATATGGCTGCGGGGTTTTAAACCGCCGAGGTGTTTCACCTCGAGGACCGGTCTGTTTTCGGAAGTGTTTTTCCTAAGATTCGTGGGTGAAACCCGCATCTTGATATTTTGATGCTGTACCCACATGAAGCCAAACTTACCTACTCCAAACATATATGCTACGTATTTTCAGCGTAAGGTCGTATTACGAAAAAAGTTCCGATGTAGGTGATTCCCGATGTACTGGACTGAAATAGTGAAGACAAGGTTTGAAACGACACCAGTTGCTCTCTGTCATTGACCCCCACCTCGCTAGCGGTAGGAAATTTGAATCCTCGATCGGCATTTTAAAGAATTATGTATCTTTGCTTTATTCACGGAAAAAAAATGTTTAACGAATACTGTGTTTTGTGAATATGCCAATTTAAATTACTTCATTGTTAAAAAGATTCTGCAGTTTAAGGAAAGTTCTTTCTATTTCTGAATACTGAGTACTATTTTTTTTTCCTCAGCACCCAAATGCCTTAATATGGACGAGGTTTTAACAGTCGTCATTACTTGGTGTTCTCCTAGCAGCAAATCACCTTCATACATGACCTATATCTTATATAAAATAAACTTGAGGATTAATAAATAGTTGTGTTTTTCCTAATTGTGTGTTTAAGTTAAACGTAATGAAAACACAGTAATGACTTTAGACTTGCTTCTTCATACTGCTATATACGAATAAAGCTAAACAGAACTTTTAAGGTGCCAGAATAAAGCACATGCAAGAAAAACGGTGTGTGAAAGGCAGAGCTATCCATCTGGCTTCTGACTTCCCTGCGTCCTCTCCTCCGCCAGGGACCTGTGGGTGTGGGTGGGTACCAAAGATTGAAGCAGAGGAGAAAAAAAAGCCTGAGCCCTACCCTACCTTTCCTGGTAAACGCACGCTAAGTAATTATCATCTCCTAAAAAAGCAAAGAAAAAACAATTGGTATTATTTCTCTAGGCTCATTTATATTTTGAAAATACGTTTGTTAAACCGATAATTTTAAAAGGACTTAGTAAAAATACCACCATGAAAAATTCAGTTAATCCTGTGAAAATAATGTCGCCAATATTAAAAAAGTGGTCATATCATTGCTCGATTATTTGCATCCTTCAGCCGTTCTTTTGGAAAAATAGAATGTTTAACCAGATGTTAAAGCTTCGGTTACTTCAGCCGTTTCCGACAAAACCCACCCCCTTCGAGCGGAGCGCTTTAACAGCAAAGCCCCATTCCCTCGGGCTGATAAACTCTAGCCCTAAAGATGCCGCTTGGATTTAGAGTACCTGAAAGTGTTGCGACTATGTGGGAGACCTCCACTGTCCCATAAAGCTCTTGGGAAATTGGCAGGAAAGCTAGAGGAAAGGCTTGTGGGGCGAGGTGGGGTGGTACAAGGGGTACAGGTACTTTTGAGATGGGAAGAAGATGCAGGCGTAGCCGAGTGTAGCGCGAGTATTGCAGAATATCTTACTTCATTTTGCTTGCTTAGAAGTAATGTTCTCAGGTTTTGATTGTGGTTTTTTGTTTGTTTGGTTGGTTTGTTTCTTTGTTTGTTTTTGGTGGGGGGAGAGGGGTGTTGTTTAGTTGGGTTTTGTTGTTGTTTGTTTGCTTGGGGGGGGGTCTGTGATGCCTTTTTTGTTAAATCGTGCTTTTCTGGTGTGACGCTTTTGTGCATTGAATCAAATGCCACAATTACAACTTGTTACGTTTCTTGAATATTTTTGATCCAACTCGCATAAGTGAATTGAGGCTTCATTGAATGAAGACGCAGCTTTCAGCTCTTGTCCCACTAGCAAGCTGCCAATTTGACTCAGAAGACAGTTTATTTTATAAATAAATACAAGCATTTGAGAAACAATTTTACCCAGTTCCTGTGAAAGAGATAATACTACAAAAAGCACTTTTAAAAAAGTTTTATTACATTCCTGAAGGTTTCTAATGTTTTCTCCTTTTAAAAAAGGAAGGGGGAGATACCCCAAGAGCCTTTCTCTTTTTAGCCACAACTGTTACCTTGTCGTAACATAAACCGATATTCTTTACATAACAATGTCGCGTTTCGCCGGCTCTGAGTCGGGAACTTTTGAACCCGTGTTTACTCGAGCCCTTCTCTGGCTGTTTTATATCACCGTCCGGAGGCTGCGAGAGGCTGGAGGAGCAGATTTGCCAAAAGGGAATGTCGCGAACTTGCCCGATCTCATCTACAGGGATTACATGACTTAATTTCGGCGTTTCTTTTGAAAGCCTCGAGTTTGCGCTTCTTTAAATGTAGGTCTCTCGTTCGGGTTTGACATTCCCCATCCCGCCAGTGTGAAGCCAGCAGGTAGGTAAGCCTGCCTAGCTCCACGTTATCCTTACCGAGCCCAGGAAAAATAGGCATCCACGTATTCGTGGGTGTAGTGGGTTTGTGTTTGTTTGGTATGTTGGGGGATGAGAGGGTTAGTGTACAGAAAAACTAAACCCACAGCAAAACCCAGGCGCCGTCACGGGGCATCTCCCACCCGACTGCTTTGAAGGCGATGCACTTGACAAACGCTCAATGTTTGTTTCGGTCCTGGACCGTCGGGCACGAACGTACTAATTAACTCGAATTAATCAGCACCCTTACAACTCAAGCTTAAAGGCTGTGGTGCAGATAAAGGTCATTATCTGTGAAAGCCACTGCCCGGCCGCGATTCACGCGCGTCCCTGAGCCTCCCCTCAGCGCTGGCGCCCCCTCCTCGCAGGGAGCGGAGCGGGGGCGGGAAACCCTCACCCACACCAGCCTCCTGAGGAGGAGCACGGCAGGGGCGCTTTAACAGTGGGCTGGGTGCGGCGGGGCAAAAGTATAAAGCGTGAGGAGCGAGGCGAGCCCGCTAGGTACCGTCTCTCGTCCCAGAGGAGCGGGCGGGGCTGTCCCGTTCTCCTCAGGCTCCCGCCCTGCCCCGGGCCCGCAGCACGGAGGGGGCGGGGAGGCAGCGGTTGGTGAGGGCGGGTAGTTCAAACCCGAGCGAGGGAAAGCGGCGGCGGCCGCACGCGAGGGGCCGGTGTGGGTGGGGAGAGGCGAAGCGGCTCCTCGCCAGGGGCAACGGGCCCAGGGTCGGGCGGCGAGAGCTGCTGCGGCGGCACCGGCCTCGCTCCTCCAGCCTGCCCTCAGCCCCGCTCGGGGGGCCCCGCTGCCGCCTCAGCCGCACCCCGTGGAAGGGCGGCCTCCAGGCTCTGCTCCTGTGCCCAGCGATTTCCCAGATGAGGGGGTGAAGCGGTTGCTTTGCTCGTGTCCGGCATCCCAGGTGGATGAGAGACCCTCGGGTGCTGGTCCCTGGGTAATTAGGCGATGCACACATACATACATGGACTGAAAACTGTGCCTCAGCTGGGTAATGTTTGTCTTACACCTCTCTCTTTTCTCTTCACATCCTTTCTCACTTCAGGTTATCAGTAGGGGCAAGCAATTCTTCTAATACAGCACATTTACTGTGGAAGATCTTGAGTTGCTTCACAAATTAGGGTAAGTGGCCCACATAATTTAGATAGGACTTGGCGATGTCATCTTCAGTATTAATATTTTCTAAGGTATCAATGACTTCTGTGTTGTCTCAGGGAGGTCAAGAACAGAGTCTTCAGATAATCAATTTTACTACAGATATGGTATGTTTAAATAACAGAGAAAATATTCTTGTATGACCAGAATGTTGTCTTTATCTGTTTTGTTAGCAATAGTGAACAGTGATAAAGTCAGAAATCATCAAGGTATAATTGTTCAGTGTGTGTTACTGGGGAATGTAAATTAGTATCATGAACATCTTAGAACTTATGTCTAAGAGGCACTGTTGACATTGCCTTCTAGTTACCAACATTTTTACCTCTTTGGGGTGCTTTGTAAGACTAACCTTGCTAAAAATGATTTTTTTGTCTAAACATGTGAATACCGTGCATTTAGTTTGGGTCAGCTTAGTTTATTTTGTCCCATAAACTTCCAGAAATTTTGCAGTTGATTTGTAGATCAGTTTGAGAACTACAAAATTAATAATAGATATGGGAAATGCACAGAGCACCTGCACTTAGCAGATACGGATTTTGTTACTTGCTCTGTAACTGACTTGTTTTGCAACCAACCTTTTCTTCCCTGCACATCTGTTTGAGGGTGTCTAAGACAAGGTTAACAATATTTTCAGGAACTACTTCAAGATCCCCAAACGAAAAGGACATGATGTTATGTATCAAATCTAGTAGACAAAACTTTTCTCCCAATAAAAAAGAATTGCTTATAGAAGTCAGTCAAGTTGTAAGTAGTTTTATTAGGCATCTCTTATGAATATAAATATTATCTTGTTATTATTATGAAAGCTGTTGGGCACCTCTGAAAGGCTTCCCATTTTGTACTGCATTTGTAAAATGAGATCTTGTGTTAAATTAAATCTTAATTTGTACAAATAATACATTTTGGAAAAAAAAATTAATGCATATACAGCTTGAGCTGTATACTGGGATTTACAGTAAATCATAGAATGAATCAGGTTGGAAGGGATGTTAAAGATCACATAGCTCCAAACCCCTTCCATGGGCAGGGACACCTTCCCCTAGACCAGGTTGCTCAGAGCCCCATCCAGACTGGCCTTGAATGTTGCCAGGGATGGAGCATCCACAACTTCTCTGGGCAACCTGTGCCAGTGTCCCATTGCCCTCATAAGAGGAATTTCTTCCTAATGTCTAATCTAAACCCGCCTTCTTTCAGTTTAAAGCCATTACCCCTTGTCTTATCACTAAATGCCCTTCTAAAAAATCCCCCTCCAGCTTTCTTGCAGGCCCCCATTAGGTACTGGAAGACCACAACAAGGTTTCCCTGGAGCCTTCACTTCTCTGGGCTGAACAACCCCAGCACTCTCAGCCAGTTTTCACAGCAAAGATACTTCATCCCTCTGATCATTTTCACATCCTACTCCAGATTCGCTCCAACATGTCCATGTCCTCCATATTTTGGGGGCCCCAGGGCTGAACGCAGTACTCCAGGTGGGATCTCACAAGAGCAGAAGGTAAAGAAGTAAAATGAAGTATAAAATAGTATGAATGAATGAAGAAGTATAGAATGAAGTGCAGAAAAGAGGTGAAATGAAGCAGTTTGCTGGACATTGTTCATTCGGTGTCTGTACTGAAGCGACAATTTTATTTATATTATCCTATAATATTTTGTAATGTCTATAAAATCAATGCAATGAGCTCACAGGCTCCCCCTGCCGGACTTTGCACTATGCACAGCATATTTTTGGCTTCTGCTTGAGTTAACAGCATTCCTTTAACTCCACTATTTTGATCTCCCTTACAGCTGCAAAAACCTTGTTTTGCTGTGATTTTTATGTTACTTGAAACACAAGTTTGATTAAATTATTTTATACTGTAATATTTTATTTTTTTTTCTACTGTCAGTTGTTCAGAGTTATTAGATAATTTCTCCTATAGAATGCCTGAGAATGAAGCTGCAAGCATGAGTTTTTCCTCTTGTTTCTTCAGCCTGCTGCCTGAAAATTAATTTTCTAAGTCTGGAAGCCTGTGGACTTTTGTTAGATGTGTGATTAGTTTGACTGTGACTGTGTTTAAGGAAAACATTAATATTTTTAAAGGTAAGTGTGGGTATGTGATTTTGTATTATTTGTTTGGGTTTGGTATGGGATTTCTCTGGGGGAGATGTCTTTTTTTTTTTTTTTTCCAGTATTGAGATTTTGAACAGCTGTCTTTAAGTAGCATTCAGTTTTAAACTTCTGTCCATCAACATTTTTGGAAGGAATATCTACTGGCAACATTTGCTAACTAACTGCAGTTCACAAAATTCAGCATAAAAATGAAGCCTCTATTCTTTTTGTAAATTACACAAAGACAACAGCGTATTGTTACAGCAGGTTTCTTTCTTCCTCCTCTTACAAAAGGAAGAGCTGTGTTGGAGTGGTCCTTTGCCCATAGCATGACTAATTCACTGAAATGCAGCAGTGCAGCGCCCAGGGACTTCATACCTTTAAAAATATAGGAAAAAGTTATTTTCTAGTTCATGACACAGCATTTTCAGCCTATTGCCTAAAATCATAGAATCATGGAATGTAAGGTAAGTGGAAGGAACCACTGGAAAGCATCTGGTCCAACCTCCCTGCTCAAGCAGGGGCCCCCCCAGAACACATTACTCAGAACTGTGTTCAGGCAGCTTTTGAAATCTCTCCAGCGAAGGAGAGTCCAAAACCTCTCTAGGCAGCCTGTTCCAATGCTCTGTCATCCTCACAGTAAAGAAGCTTTTCCTCATGTTCACGTGGGACCTCCTGTGTTCCAGTTCCTGCTCATGGCCTCTTGGAATCATAGAATCAACTGGGTTGGAAAAGACCTGAGAGATCATTAAGTCCAACCCTTGATCCAACACCAGCCTGGTTACTAGACCATGGCACTAAGTGCCACGTCCAGTCTCATCTTAAAAACCTCCAGGGACAGTGAATGCACCACCTCCCTGGGCAGCCCGTTCCAATGTCTGATTACTCTCTCTGCAAAAAATTTCTTCCTAATATCCAGCCTAAACTTCCCCTGGCAGAGCTTAAGGTCGTGCCCTCTTGTCCTACTGCTGGTTGCCTGGGAGAAGAGACGTGTTGCTTGGCAACACTGGGAAGAGCCTGGCTCCATCCTCCTGACACTCTCCCTGCAGATACTTACTGACATTGATAAGGTCCCCTCTCAGTCTTCCCTTCTCCAGGCCCAACAGGCCCAGCTCCCTCATCCTTTCCTCTTAACTGAGGTCCTTCAGTTCTCTCATCATGTCCATAGTGCTCCTCTTGACTCTCTCCAGTATTTCCTTCTCTTTCTTGAACTGGAAAGTTCAGAACTGGCCACAGTACTCCAGGTGAGGCCTCACCAAGGCTGATTAGAGGGACAGGATCACCTCCTTCGACGTGCTGGCAATGCTCTTCCTAATGTACCCCGGGATACCCTTGGCCTTCTTGGCTACAAGGACACTGTGCTGGCTCAAGGGCAACTTGTTGCCCACCAGGACCCCCAGGTCCTTCTCCGCAGAACTGCTTTCCAGCAGATCAGCCCAGCCTGTACTGGTGAAGGGAGTTATTCCTCCCAAGGTGCAGGACCCTGCACTTGCCTTTGAACTTCAGAGGGATCTTCTGTGCCCATCTCTCCAACCTGCTGAGCTCCCTCTGAAGGGCTGCACAGCCCTCTGGGGTGTCAGCCACTCCTCCAAACTTTGTGTTGCCAGCAGACTTGCTGAGGAGGCATCTGCCCTTTATCCAAGTCATTGATGAATAACTTGAACAATACTGGGTCTGGTATCGACCCTTGGGGGACATCACCAGTGACAGGTCTACTAAAACATTGAGAAGTGATGTAGGTGAAATACTAGATGCTTTTTGGAGTTGGTCCTGCAATGGCAGTTCTCCCTAATTCATGTAAGCACTAGCTTAAAGCTGTGTCCTTGTGTTTCCTGTTTGTGCTGTCATTTATTTCACTGAGTCAAACAGAGAATGAGGAAAAAACAGTGATTAAAACAAATGTGAAAATAAGGTACTTGTAGAGGTAAATGAGGGAAGGAAAGGAAGGAGGCCAGACTTCAGACCTCATTGTTGTGTTGAAATTATTTTTACGTACCCTTCTTTCCTGGAAGAATTTTTCTCAGTTATGTTGGTCTGGTTTTTTGTTTGTTTGTTTTAAACCTATTTGTTTTCATTCTGATATTAGCAAGATTGTGTAGGTCTTTATGCTAAGGTGTTACTGTCTGCTGTTTAACATCTTGTTCCTTTTGAACTTCTATATATTGCTGTCTCCTTACAGTAGAAAACAAAACAAAGCATTTTCTATATGGCAGTGGTCTAAAAAAGTGCCTTCAGCATGGGTATAAAATGCTAATGGTTCAAGGTCATCAAAGAGTAGTTCCCTCCTCACCTGTCTCATGCAGTCTGGGTTCCCACTGCTTGTGTTTGGTGGCTTAGGGCTTAACTAAGTCAGGACTGTTGGGATAATAGCAATGTCTTAGTATTTGGTGTTTAAGCCAAATTTAAAGATTCCTATTTTTGTCTGTTTTGAAAGTTCACTTGCTATTTCCAGGCTTTATGTTTCAAAATATCAGTTATGGAGGCCAGTAACACACCCCAGTGAAAGGTGCTGATTCCAGCTCAGGGAGTCTTGGGGTGTTGAGGTGAATTACTTTGGTGTCCGTGAGAACAACCTTCCTTCTGCCATTACTCATAACATCTTTTATACAGTTGTTGTGTCTTGTGTGCAGAAAGAAATGACCCAATGCCACTGTGGTTATGGTGGAGAAACTCTGCCACCTATGAATTGCAAAAAGTAAGCCTGTTTCCATGCATCTTTTCCACGGCTGATGTGTGCATCAGCCACTTCTAACTTCTCTAAGAAAATATATAGTAGCTCTTAAATGATCTGTACCTGGTGAGTGTGTGAACGGTCAGCCCATTAGTTTGTTTAAAGTGTAAAACTTCAGAACACTTTACACACAGAGCTGAGCAAAAGCAGAGACCTTCTTTACAAAATAACATTTAAATGCTGAGGAAGACAAAAATGCACTTTTCACTTTGAAATTTATTCCCTCAAGGGACTGTAGGGATCTGAATAATAGGGAGACTTGTAGAGTTGTGACTTCATGATTAATCCTCTTATTTTACTTAAGGAGAAAATGCCTTTTGTCTAAACTCACTATCATCAGAGCTTCTGCTCATTCTTGAGGACTGAACTGTTAGTGTTGGATGAACCAATAACCCCCTCCTAATAAAAATCTCGACCCTATTGGAATGCTAGAGGGTTTTGTTGCCAATTTCAGCACCAATGAGCCTCTAGTTGCTGTGTTGCTTATCTAAAGTGTTTTTCCACAGATGAGGACTGGCACATCAATTAGCTAACTGGATGTAAGTCTGAATTTGCCTACTAGTATACTACGCATTTTAATCACTTGTTCTAACCACCTACTTGATAGGAATTTATATTTGCGTACATTTATAAGCAGTTTCTACTAAGACTAATAAAAATACTTTTGTCGTGGCTACTGTCTTGATAGACTTACACAGGGCTTTCTCATGAATCTGAGGGTGTTTTGGTGACTACTTTGTCGTTTGTTTCAGGAACAACACTGGTATCTTCTTTTACAAAGCCAAAGTGTCAAGCAGAAGATGTCAGACAGTCATTCAGTGAAGTTCAATATTCTTAAAAGAAATAGATTAATATCTCCCAGCAGCAATTTTAAATACTCAAATTTTAAAGACATGTGTTGCACTTCAGCATTTCTGGACAGCAGATACAATGAGTCAGTAAAAGATCTTGATGCAGAACATAAAGAAGCACCAAGTGTAACAAGTATTTCATTGCTACAAGGGCATTCTGAGCACATTCATCCAAATGCCTTCATTCCCGTGTCATCATCTATCGAAAAAGAACTGAATTCTATCTCAATATCAGAAGAAAAAGAAGCAACAGGAAGTGCAGATGGTTTTGAAAGTCCTAAATCAAGTAGAAAAAGCTCTTCACTACGCAGGAGACTGCTTTTACCCAAGACTGTTGAAGCTGGCACAACTGTAGAAAGCTGTGAAAGGCAAGCTAGTTCTTCAGGAAGCATCAGGAAAAAAAAATTCTCCTGTGTTTTGAACTCCGAAGAAAAACTTCCAAAAACTACTGCAGATTCTTCAAAAGATAAAAGTTGCAAAACTCTGACAACTAGCACTTCAAAACCTGAGGGCTCTAATCCTCGTTTTCCAAAACGGAGAATTTCCTTTTCACAGCAAAGGACTTCCACAGTAGATGAGTCCCAGTGTAAGGACCCCTTATTGCTAGAGTCGGAAAGTTTATCTCCAATTCAGTGTAAGGATGGAATTGTTAATAACACTAATGAATTCAATGGAAGTGTTCTTATGAGAGTTGGTGACGGGGTGCTTAGGACTCTTACTTACAACGAAGCCAATGAGAGTAAATTCCTGACTTCTATCAACAGTCCTGTAGAGAACTTGAATTTTGGACTATGTGATATAAACTCTCCCCCTGTTAAGGTGGTAAATTACCCAGATCTTTCAACACCTGAGGATAGTGGATATAATTCACTTCCTTTGGACAAATCAGGAGACTCATTGTCTGATCATGAGGGATCTTTCCAAGAGCTCTTTCAAAAGCACAGAGAAGATTCCAAAATTCTAGATAATAAAAGAAAAACAAGAAAACTTGAACGAGTTAGAAGGTTATCCACTCTTCAGGAACAGGGTTCACAGTCAGAGACAGAAGATAATCATGGCAGTCCTACTTCAATGCATATATTAACAGAAGAAAGAAATTTTGTCAGGGAAGATCATGAATTAGTTCTAAAAGAACAACCTAATGGAGACCTGGTTGTAAGTCATGGAGATCTCTCAAGAACTCCAGCTCTGAAAATAGTTCATGAAATTTGCTTGCAGAGACAAAGATCGGACCAAAAGCAAATATCAGAGAATATTGATGGAACAGAAATATTTGCATTAGATCATGTCCTTCCTGGACTTATTGGCAAGAAAATGGGCCTTGACAAATTAGATATTTTAACAGAATTAAAAGACAGAAATTTAAAACATGTTCTTGCTATAGTTTTAGATGCTTTGACAGTGGAAAGTCTATGCAGGTAAGTACTATGGCTTCACCCCCCCCAAAGGCAAAAATATGTGCTCCTGCAAATGAGTTAGAATAATTTCTAGAATACCAGGTGTTGTCAATATAATTCATTTGGTTTTGAGGAAATAAAAATTTTTGTCACCATTGATCAAGTAGGTCTTTTTGTGTAGTTCTAAAAGTATGAAGGGGAATTAAAAAAGCAAAACAAACATGAAAATTAATCAACTTAAAACTAAATCACAGTACTTGTAAACTTAGAAATATATTAAAAGTTCCTTTAAACCTAGAAAGTAATTTATTCTCATTACAAGTTCCCCAATATTGCACAGTACTCAAAACACGTTTTCTGTATTTTTTCTTGTGCATTTTATTTCCTTATTTTCAAGCACAAAAATGCTCCAAGAATTTTGATTCATGAGAAATCTTCTAGATTAATTTATAATCAACAGAAATTGTCCCATTTCAAAGAAATCCAGAGTGTCACGTGTTGTTAGTTACAAAGGGAATGGGTGAATAGGTGGAAGTGTAAGGGCACGAATCTTTTTAGAACATTTAACACAAAAACGTGACTTTAGAAACAATCTTGGTAAGTGGAGAGAAGAAACTGGTTTAATTTTCTAAGTCAAAGCTATGCTCTGTTATTTATATTGCAATTGTTCTTTAGACTCTTCTGTTATTCTATAGAATGGTGCACGACAATATGAGATCTGTGTCTCAAAACAATATCATGAACTACTATATTGCAGTAGTCTGTAAAATTACCAAAGTATATGAAACTGCAAAGATATTTACCAGGTAGTCTTACTATCATGACTTCTGCACTACTTGGAAAAATGTGAAAGTGAATCATTTTTTTCATTAATTTGTTCCAGCATTTGGAAAGTAAGCAAAAACTGGCGTGAAATCGTTGTACAAGATAAAAGGGCAGATAAGAGGAGAAAGTTGTACATAAAACAGCAGAAAGAAGAAGCTGGGGTAAGGTGGTTCTCAAAAGTGATATTTTTTTTTTTAAGCATGAAAGAAGGCAGGTCAAAGGAAAGAGGAAACATCTTGTAAAGTTACAGAAAGGGAGCCGATAGAGACAATTCCAACAGGAGTATGTGAAGGATTCTAACAGGAGAATGTAATGGCTCTTACTTCTTTTCAGCTGTTTGCAGTTTGACTACTAGTCTTTCAACAATGTCAGACTATTTCTTTCCCCCTTCGGCCCTTTCTCGAGAATCCTGTGACTGATTTTGGCTTTATATTTTTAAAACCTGTTCATACCATTGTTCCGTGCTGCTCCTTATTTTGCGTTTCACTCTAGTCTGCAGTGCTGTAGGACCCACTCTAGAATACTCCTGGATTATTTTCAGGACTGCTTGTGGCTAAGCATCACAGTGTATTTGTGAACATCAGAAGGACATATAGAAGTTTAAGGGGTATCTAGAAGAGTAAGCATACTAATTGCAGTATATTTTTTTCAGATCCCCCACATGATGCACTTCAGTGGAACCTTGCTTTAAATGTGACAAAAGCTGTGTTTGCTATTTCCTTACTTGCTATTGAGATGTGTACGAATTCAGAAACAAGAGGACCAGTAGAGTGTGCTAAAAGACTGTTGGCTTTTTACTCTGCTCATGGGACTGTTTTTAATGATTCCTGTCTCTTTATTCCTCACTAAATATAAATGTTTAACAGGAAATATTTGCACTATACATAATTTCCGTTTCTAATATGTTGTTGCAGAGGGGAAAAAACCCCAAACAAGCAAAATCCAGCTGAAAATACCAAATGAAATAAAACCCTAATTTTCTCCCTTTTTTCTTTTTTTTTCCTTTTCTTTGTAATTATAAACTAATAGGAATATTTATTGAAGGCTGAAGATGCTGCCACAAGGCTTAATATTCTCAATAGATCTGCTCTAAGGCCTGTTCAAGCTCAAGCCAGAACTCCTGTACTACAAACACCACCTTCATACACTGAAATTACACCCACTAACACTAGTTACTCAGCTAGCAGACAGGAAGAATACCTGAAAGTAGGTATCTAAGAAATGCTTCACTTTTAGTTTTTAGGAAGTTTTCATTTACAAGAACTAAGTAGCTCTTTTCTCCCTCCTCTTGCTACAGGTTGCTAAAACTCTGTTCACTGACGAAGCTCTAAAACCCTGTCCAAGATGTCAATATCCTGCTAAATATCAACTGGTAAAGAATCGGGGGCTGTGTAGCAGAGAGGCATGTGCATTTGAGTTCTGTATTTTATGTCTGCATGCATTCCATGGCTCAAAAGAATGTAACAGTTTATCTGCAAAACGGAAGAACAAAAAAGATGCTCCTCCAGGAAGCGCCCAAAGCAAAAGAAATTTAAAAAGACTCTAAATTTGTAAGGCATGCAACTCCTTACATTCAATTCCTCTTCCACTTCTCATAAATTCCTAATCTTGTTCCTCTTCATATATTTCATTTCTTTATACTTCATATAAAGATATGCATTTTGAAAGTCTCATTCAATTTGTTACCAAGGTACCTTCTCATGTATATATCTTAATCAATGTAGTATATTTTTATTTTTAAAAAAATGAACATTTAAAAGTATTTTGTCTTCTTTTACTTGTTGAGTAGTAGCTAGGCACTTACTAACATCTTAATTTTTAAATAAATATTTATATGTAGTCTGTATTATTTAGCTTACAACACCTCTTAGATGTTTAAAAATGTGATTCTTGTCTTAAAGACAAATTAAAGAAAATTATTTTTAAAAAATTCTTTGCTATTGGATTTATTTATTCACTTTAAATTACAGTAACTGTTTTAAAAATATCTCAAAGTGGGGCACTATGTACACTTGCAAAAAATACTTCTATTTGTATAGTGACACCTAAAAGCCCATATTAGTTGTCTGAATTTTTTGTCAGAATAGTTTGTTGTTCTCTTAACCTCTGTAATTCAAGTCAATAGAATAGTAATTTCTAAACCAAATGGATGCTGTGTGAATATTCTATTTTACTGCTTTTTACAAAGTTTTTATCTCAAAAACTTCAGGTGATACAGTATATATTCATGTATCTAAAAATACTGTTGTGAACTTACCTAATCTGACTTTACTTCAGCTCCCAGACACTAGGTCATCTTTATACTTCTGTTGGAGTGAAAGGATTATCTACAGCTAGAAATCATTCTTTATCTGTAGATTTAACTAGGAGAATTCACTGATTTTGCTCTTGAACTAAATTTGCTGATCCTTTACAGAAAACTAACTCAATCTGCCTCTTGGACCTCAGATAATTTTTATGTGTGTGCTTGTTTTGTTTTGCTTTTAAACCTCCTAGCAATTACAAAGAGCTTGAAATACAGGTGACAGAAATGGACACAGTACTTGTTCTATGAAGATATAATATTAATTTACCTCTACAATTGATATTGTCCTACTTGTCCTTTCAAAGAGTTCATTTGTAACAAGCATCTTGCAGAACACTTGTAGTCAGCTGGTGGTTATTCCCTGCTCTCCCTCCGATGCTGTCCTTTGTGCCTTACTTGTGATGTTATTTTACTGTGTGTATTCTTAGGTAAGCTGTAACACTGAGTTATTTAAAAAGCAGTCTGATTTTAAAAAAAAAGAGCTTTCAAGTAAACAATAAGTTGCATATTAGCCTCTTTAAATATTTGTTCACACATCCCTTTATTTTAAGATTTTTTTTTGTTCCTTTTTTTTTCCATTATTTCCTTTATTGGATGTTTAAGACAAATGGCCCAGGACAATCCACTTCAGGATGTTCTTGAAATATCACTTCTTATTTCTCATCTCTAACTGTTGTGATTTGTAATTTGGTTAGTACTTCTACACCATACTTGGTTTCTGGGATAGTAGTTTCACACAGCATTTAGAAGGATGAGAAACAACACGGCGAATAAAATGCTATAGAATTTTTAGTACTAACTCTATTTAACTGAACACGGTGTCATGAAAGAAGGGATCAACCCAATATGTCTGCCAGAAAATCATGTTTATTGCATGCATACAAGTATCAGCATTTTAATTCCATGCTTATTTGTATTTGCTGAGTCTTTGCCTCATTCTTGTCTCGGGTTACACTGGTAGGACTTGGACTTGAAAATGGTTCTGTCTATTCTGAGGGAACAATTGAGATGAAGGATTTGGGGGCAAGCTAGAGGATAGAGGTATGTGTATTCAGTTTTGGTTTAGGAAGAATGACATTGATTACAGAGGAGGAGATTGCAGTAGGAAAATGGCTAAATGACTTGATTAAATATTTTCACTTCTCTAATTGTTTAGAACTTTGTGTTCAAAGTCTACTTAAAAGTTTTAATAAAGTTCAAAGAACCATTGGATTTGTTCCTTTTTTCTTAGGTATAAATTAAGGAACTATACATTTTTAGAAATGTTTAATAGTTTCTATTAAAGGTTAAACTGACATGATGAACAGCTTTCTAGGCAGGAAGTTATATTACACAAGAATCTGAATATATACAGTTTTTAATAACCTAATTTGGATTAGTTGTCTTTCCTGTTGAACTACCAAATAAAGTAGGATATGTTAGTAACTGCAATGCAGAATAAGTACTGCATGTCATAACATTTCAGTCTGCTATTGACATCACTGCATTTAAACTCTGCTAAATAGCAATACATATCTCTAAAATGTCTCAAAACAAAAAAAAAACTTTAAATGCATTCTTGAAATTGTTGGGAGACTTATGGCAGACAGTGAGAGGATTTAGCTTGCCTTCTGATGTGGAATATTGCAGTGCAGTCTAGAAATGCATGAGGTGCAATAGTTCTGAAAGTATTACTAAAATAGGTGCACCTTTGGATGGAAGAGCCATATAGGAGCTCAATTCTCGGTTTAAGAATAATTTTTTAAGTGCCCTTTCCATTTGAGAAAATCTGGTAAGAGTTGTGTGACCTTTTCCAAAGAGTTTGCTTTTGCTAAAATCTGAATAATTCAGGGAGAATGGAGTAGTAAATTGGTTTTCATTTCGGCATTCTTTGTCTTTTGAAGGTAGTCTCTTTGATGTTTACAGTGTCTATTCAACAAGGAGTAACTTGAAAAGAAAAAATACTTGAATCCTATTTCACAGTTTTAAACCTTTTTCTCCACTTTCAACATATTTGAAAGGTGGTTTTTTTCCTACTAAACCTGTCTCACAAAAATGTCTTCTTGAATCACATGTCTCTTGTTCAGTTCAGTCTACCATGAATATGCTCTGGTGTTCAGAGCATATTCAGAAATGTGTTCTCTGCTGTCATCCACTGCTACACCAGAGGCAGGGGGAAGTGAGAAACCCAGGCTTCTCATCTCTGGGTAGTGGTCCTCTCTGACAGTGATTTTCAAAAATTTATTTAAAAAAAAATTAGCTTTATGCCTTGGCACAAGGGAGAAACAAAACAGTGATATAATCAATGTGTGGGTTAAGAATAACATAACTGTACCATATCTTGTGTTCTATTAGATATCTAAAAGCCTCTAATAGAGTAAAAGGAATCAAAATTATTTCATTATATGATTGCTTTATGACAGAAATTAAGTATTTGGGGTAGAGGAGTGGAAGTAACCTCTTTTGAAATGTTAGAATATTTTTTTTCTCTATCCTGTATCCCTCAATTAGTCTCTATCAGATACTATAAAGCTATGGGAGTCTGAACTTGAATGAAGCAACAAAGAAGAACATAAGGTCTTACTTATAAAAAACCCAAACACTCAACACAAAACCAAACAACCTCACAAACCCCAACCCCCAGACCCCAAAATAAATCCTCCCCTTCAACAAAGCCAAAAAAAAAAGGCAAGAAGAAAACAGCTGATGAGTGTCAGGGGGCCTAGGGATTCATGCCTAGCATCTTTCTTTTTCTACTAGGCTGAATTATTTCTCGGAGACCTGAGGTCAAACGCTATCACAGAGAAGAAGGATGCAAAAGTGGTCTTTCAGTAGAAATGGCAATGGTCAAGTGTTTTCTAAAATATCCAGCCCATAATTATTCTCCAGCTCAAAAACTGTTCTTGCAATTGACAATAGATTGTTGGAAAAGGAGGAGTGAATTTTCTTTCATTCTGGAATATGAGAATAATGTTCAAGATACTATTTGGACTGCTTAAAACCTTATTTTTGCAATACTTACTTCCCTTCAGGCAGACATGACCTATAGTGGGAGAAGTGATATTGCCTGCAATTGCCCAGGGAATGAATTTAGTTTTCTGAAGATGATGGTTTCAACCAGACCTGTGAATTTAAATTCTAAAATAGAATTATTAGAAGTAGCCTTTGCTGCTGACAGAGGTTGCTGCAAGAATTGTACTTCATAAATCTTTTTTTTTGGAGCAGCAGCCCTAAACTTCAAGTGGTTTGTGAGAAGGAAATTGAGGTTACTCAAGACTCTGATCATTCTTTCCTTGGTGACAAGTATCAAAGAGCTTAGGCAAAAAATTGTTATAAATCTTTTTAATTGTTTATAGGCTAGAGAATGTTAGTATGTTTTATCATTAACTAGCTAAAGATTTTGTTAATTAAATTAAGGATCTCATCAACATACAACAGATTACTTCCCTATTCCATATATTGGTTATTCTTTAGAACATCTTTGGCAATTTGGCCTTGTTGGTTCACTTTAATACAAGAAGTAATTTCTTTCTGTTTCATAGGCACATGAAGAAATACAGCAATGTCAGATTAGAAAGGGACTCCTGGAGTCTTGTGCCAACCTCTTATGTCAACTCATCAAGTTCTATCTTAAAACTAGATAGAATACTGTCCAATGACAGTGTCGGTGACCTATTCCAGATCGGTCTACTATTCCCTTAACCTGTTGCCTTTTTTTTAGCACTACTATTAAAATAACTCTTCTGTACATCTGATCCTCCCCTTACACTTTTTGTTCCTCCCAATGTTATGATTATGTTATTTCACCATCAAAAAACTCAGAATTTAGTCTCATCTCTTAAGACAATCCAACAACAGGTGTTGTGACAAACAATTCCTCACTGTTTCCATTAGAATTTATTCTTTAAATCAATGCAACAACTATTCCAGGTAAAACCTCCTCAAGACCTTGAATAACATTGAGGCTTTCTTTTCTCTACAAGAAAATACTTTGACCAATGCATTTCTTTTTTATGTCTTCTGCACAATCCCAGTTTAATCACTAGGTGTAATACTCCCACTTTCTTTCCACAAATTTTGAAAAGATCCCATTTTTCCCCCCATATTTCTACTGAACCTTAAGTGTGTAACCTCACACTTTGTACTGCTAAGCTTCAGGCTTTTTTCTTTCTCTGCTTCAGTCTTGTGATGATTTAGTATTTGATGTGATATTATATTTTTACAGGTGCAAATTTTTTGTCTGTACTGAATCTTACACAATTTTTTGATGCAAAACATCTAGCAGATTCTGTTATCACTTGTCAGATGCCCCAACAGAATCTGACTGCTTCATGGGAATGGCATGGTTTTTTTTAGTTAAACAAAAACAAAGCTTACTTTCACTTTCTGAGCTCTGATTAGTTGAAATTCTCATTACAAAAAGACTTAACACATTTATTTTCCTCTATGACAAGCTTCTGTACAGTGTTAGAACCTATCCAAACTTGTCAGAAGCCTAAATGCTGCTAAGACCTTAGTGAGCTGGGTGCTAATGGCTGATTAATAATGAAACCAACTTTCAGCTGAAAATATAGATGGCATGGAATTTTTAATGAACTTATAAACACTGTTGAACAT